AATAGCAACTCCCATTCGCCTGCGGCCTGCAACTGGGAGTGCGAAGATTCTGCTGCCCCTTCCGCATTGGGTCGTTAAATTTAATTGTATTCGCGAAGTGTTTAATGCAAACATACTATTATCTACAATTCTCATTTTTACCAAGCTCCAAATTAATTTATAAGTGTACAGGTTTACTCAAAATATAAAATTGCCCTGCATTTCTTATTATTCATTTATTATTAATTAAGTTCAGAAAGTCTATTTCTAAAAGGAAAGGTTGTGTCTGTCCAAAAACTAGGGGTTTTCGTTACCTAATTCCAAGATAGATATTTCTAAACTTTATATCAATTATGTCTAATTTTATATAATATAAATATTTTCGAATCTTTAAGGCGATTTTCTAAATTTTATGTCGCTCTTATTAGTGCTAAATTCAACAATCACTTAATCATTGTTAAGATTTTAAAACTTGAGAAATAAAAAGAAAACTTTGACTTTTATTGAAAACTTCGGTACACTTTAATATAAATTATTTTAAATATTTAATTATATATACACTAGATATTAACCATTGAGACTTAGTTGTAAATGAATTGCCAGCATTTATAACAAGTAATTCAATGAATAATCCCGGCATTATAGTGTTTTTATGGTAACATTATTTATTTAATTTAATTTTATATAAATTTTAAGTTAATCTATTTTTTATATTTATTTATTTATTTATCCTTCGACTGGCTTTAGTTGACATTAAATGAATAAATTAATTTTACTATACCAGCGTTCTTTGTAACTTAAGGTAATGGCATTAATATATATTTCTTATTTACATACCACAAGGGGTTCACTTCGAACATTTTGCATAACAACGCACTTGAGCCAAAGTTCTGATGTGTAGTCAAAAACGTCAAAATAGACAATTGACATACATTTAGATGGTTCAAAATGCACACATGCAGCTACCAAAGAACACTTCAAAGCCGAAGAACACGAATGCAACTTCACCTTGACCCAAATACGCAGTTCTACTCGGGTGAAATGAAACAGAATAAAAACAAAGGATAAGTCTTGTGTGCCTAGATCCTCATTCATGGATGTTGTTGCACTGGAAACGTGCTAAGAGTTGCAGTTGCAACATATGCAACAGACACGACCTTGAGCTGATTTGTGTGCACTCGAGTTGATCTGGCAGCTGTTGCCGTTTCCCAGGCTCTCCTTAAAAGTTGAGTTGCTGAGTTGCCTTAGTTAAGGCTGCTTAAAGCATCATCGCCCCACCGTAAAAATTGCTTCCACTTAATAAAACACACTAATGATGACCGCAGGACCAAATGAAATGCACTTGAGCACGTAGCTGGCAACATGAAACCACTTCACTTCGTTTGTTTGCAGTATTATATATATATATATATACATATATATATTTATAAAAAGGTACTCTAATTTATTTTTAATAATGTTGCCTCGCCAAACTTGGCTCAAGTATGGCGTTTGTAAATACGATTTATTTTGCCTTTGCTAGTTTGTGTACTTTCAATTAGGTACACATTTTGAAGGCTTTGATGCTATATATACTCTTAGCTCAATCTAGTTATGCTAGCTGGTATAAATACAAATATTTGTATAAATATGAAATAATCGAAAAATTGCAAAATACTGGCCCATCTGACATGTGTTAGACACCCTCCAATGTGCTTCAATGTGCTATGCCTCTAAAACAAGTTGGTAATATAAAAAAATCTAAACTGTTTATTTATAGGTCACTTTACCCCAGCTGGGCATACACACTTTCTACACACGCACACAACTGCACTTAAGGTCTGTGCGCTGCTTTCACCACTTTCACTCTCCGAAAGGGTTGCCACCCATCAACAACATTCTCGTCATCGTTTCTGGTATCATGTGTGCAAATGCAAACAAAAGTGCAAAATCTCGAGGGAACATTTGATTGAATTCAGACAGTTAACCGCTTCTAATGCGCATTTCTTGCTTCCGTTTTTATTGTGATTTTTTATTTTTTATTTTTTTTTTTGGTTTTGGGTAGGCTTCTTCTTTTTGCGAATAATCCCCGTCGCTTATCTGCGTAAAAATATCAAATTTTTTAAAATCATCTTGAGGCAGTTGATTTAGCAAATGCTATTTGTTTTTGCCGGCTATGATTGATATTATTATTGATGCTATTGATTGATGGGAGTTTCAAATCTGTTCGGTTTTACAAAATTAAAAAAGCAGCTTAGCTTAGCTTCAATTTGCATCACACAAAGAACATTACACAGAAGTGGGACTTAAAATCCGTGTATTATATATATATATATATATATTTTTTGCCTAAAGGCCTTTTATCAGCCGCCACGCGACATTTTTCCGCATCGATTGTGGCAAGTGGAGGGTTGGGGTGGCCATGGAAGTGGCCATTGTCTGGCGACTGGCTTTGATCTCTGCCATCTACTTATAGGTAGATGCAATTTGAATACCGCATTGAAGGCGGCAGACCATTGTCAGTGGCATATGAATAACTGCGCGAGTTATTAGCATTGATTGCACAGTTAAAGAACCATAAATTCATTGAAGTATTGGAGCTGTAAGGATACATATTTATCAGTCAACCTCAATATCAAAGAATTCAAACTTTTATCCACGGCTTCACTCTCGCTCCTAAAAACCAATGCATAGTTGGTCCCAATTTATAAATCAATTTATTTACTATACATTTTAGTTATAATATTAACATTAACATTAACACTATCCCATTGAAAACTAAGTTTTTGTATAAATTACTTATCAAACTTAGGAGTTAAAATCTTTTATTTTTTTAATATTGACAAAAGGTTATTAGAATCACTAATATTGTGATTGCAATATTGCAATATATTTTTTTTCTTATTGATAGACCCAGAAATATCGACAGAAAATGAAATTCCATTCTGAAAGCAATCCTGTGCAGCAAATGTCATAAATTACCTGTCAATTTAAATTGAATAAATTGGAATGAATATGTATTTGCTGAGCCTTTTTGAAAGCAATGCTCAAAATGATCTGAAATTAAGAAAGAATCCGAGCTCAGTTGCTAAATATATTATTCTAGTTTTATTGCAACATTTTCAAACTTAATCAAAGCATTCATTTATTTTTATAATGAAAATACTTGCGCCTGTGGATAGTAACGAGACCAATATCAGAATACCTTTTGCATGTATTCCAAATGAAAAGATTCTTGCTCTTATCGCTGAGACACGCTAGATCACACAGACGGACAGACAGGTACGGAACACGCTTTTGATCCTGATCAAGAATATAAATACTTTTATATGCTTCCTTGTGCCTATTACATTCGTTGGAACAACTGCATTATACTTTGTTTTATTCCTTTTAAAAGAATCAAAAATCGATGTCATCTTCAAATACTATACCTGTTGGCATTGCTTAAGTTTAAGTTATGCGCAGAACATTTTAACAAGATAATACATGACTAACTAATTATGAAAGTTCCTTATAAACTTTTCCCAAATATTACAATTAATAAAAACATATATTTTTTAGGGTAACTATAAAGAGTTAATCTAAGTATAGACATTCAATAAATATAATACGTAGTTGTGCATTATTTCATTTAATTAAAATAAAATGATATTAAAAAATTAATTTGTTTTGCCATTTTTATCGAGAGGAAGATTTATTGATCTTTTATCCTTCCGATACTTGAAATATATATCTCCTATTGTTTTTGGTATTATACAGACCCGGGAATAAAAAATTTAACTTTTTTTGTTTCTTTTATTTAATATTTAAAGTTAATTTTTTATTTTTTTGCACCCTTCACAAATCAATGACCCATCCGCTTGCATAAAGTAAACAAACATTTAGATATAGTATTAATTAATTTAGTTTTTATTATTCATATATAATTATTTTAGTCTTAGAATTAAGTTACTTTAGGTTACTCTCAACCATTTGGCTGTTTGCTCTGTAAAGATTCATATTGTTTTTCTTGTACTATGTTCATGCTCGTGACACGAAAATGATTTTTGTTTACAGTCCACTTGATCATCGCTCACATTTTTCGGCTGGAAATGATCTTAGTCTTCGTCTTAGGTATACTATTGCTTATGATAATGGACCTAGAAATTAAATTGACACGTACACATAAACACCAACTTACATTTAACAGCAAAATAATTATACAAAAATATATGTGTTATATATTTTTTATATTTGGTTTTCAATATTTTCATAACTATTCGATAGGTTAAGAAGCCAACTACCTAAAAGTGAAATCGATGCGATTTTTTGTTGTTGTTGTTGTTGTAAATGTTGTAAATAGACACCAAGAGAGTTTTGTAAAAGTTTGAATGATGAACTTAAGCTAATCTAATACAATATTATTATTAAATCCTATTAGTGGAAAATTTGACTTAAGTTTAGTTTCGTATCTGGGCATGAAAACTAGCTGCTGCTTGCACTGGGCCGACCTTCTTGGAAAAAACTCAAAATATAATTAAATGTAATTAATTTAGGTTCTTAAATAACTTTACCAAAAATGAGCAAGAAAATTATGCACTTAAAATATTTTTAGCAAAATTATTTATCACATTTGCGCTTATCCAAATCCATTTAAAACAGCCTTCACCACAATATTCTACAGCGACGGCAAAACTCATAAGACCTTCTTCTGATAATTTCAATTTTACTCCAAATTATTGAACACATATGTGTTTAATTTTTTTTAATTTTATAATTTAAATTTTACTCCAAAATTATAAAACACTTGTGTTTTTTTGTTTGCGAAATCTTTGACCTAAATTTCCCTTTCTGTTTCGAAAAACTCAGACAAATTTTTTTATAATTTCAATTTTACTCCAAATTATTAAGCACTTTTGTTTTTTCTGTCAATTTTCCAAACTTGAATTTTCCTCAAAACATTTATACACTGGTTTTTTTTCCTGCGAAATCTTTGACATTAATTTCTATCTTTGTTTCAAAAAACTCAAAAGATTGTTATTTTAAAAATTTCAATAGTACTCCAAACTATTAAACACCAATGTGTTACACAATTTTTGTTCCTCTGTTTCTCTCTCTGTTTGCATTCATCCTTAACTGTTTTACGGGAGCGCTAGTTCTCACCAACGAAAAGTAATCACATGTTGCGCTTAGGAGCCATCATCAGCCTCATTTTGGGGCATGAATTTGTAGTTGTTGTTTGTTTTCTTTTTTTTTTTTGTTTATTTTTACTGCGCTTGCGGCTGAATCTGCACTGTGGCAGTCAGTTTGGTGGATTTGCCAGTCTGTTGTTGTTGCTGCTGCTTCTGTTGCATGTAGAACTGTTTGAGCACTTTACACATGGCCAACGCGAGCATTTTCCACACCAGCAACTGCTCCTCGGTGCTAGGTGGTGGTGGCGTTTCCGTTTCACTGCCACTTGTTGCTGCTGCTCCTGCCGCCGACGGAGGTGCCTCGTAGTCCACTTGATCGTATCCAGCAGCAGCATCGCTTGCATAAATAACACCATCCACTTGATCAGCGGCGGTGATTTGGGCAGCTGCCGCAACGGGCTCATCTTCGTAGAAGGGAATCGCCATTGCAAAGGATTACGTCAAAATTCTGCTACGCTTTTCACTCGATATTCTGTGTAGTGTTTTTTTCTTTGCCTGTAGTTCGTTACTCGTTGCGAGCTGTCGTTCGACTGACTTGCGAGGTTACATTGCAGGCGTTTTTATACCCGGGAAATGCCGCGCTGACAATCGTCACAGCCGAACAGGGACGACAAACCCACCACCACCACCATCACCACCACCAACACCACCACAGACCCTAACCCAATGCCAGGCGCCCACCCCCCGAACAAGCACAGAGAGAGAGCGACGGTCAGATAGAGAGAGAGAGAGAGAGAGAGAAAGAGAGTGCTTACGTGCACTTCCGTAAGGACTCCCGTGCCCTCTCTTCCCGAGACTTCTCAATGTGCCGCAATGTCAGCTACTTTCTGACTGTATCACGTGCTGTCAAGGAGCGAGAGAGAGAGAGAGAGAGCGACAGAGAGTGCGTGATTTCTGCTTCACACTTGTGGCATGTTACGTTTACGTTAAAGTTATGCATTACGTTGACGCTTACGTGTCGCGTATGCCCTTCCTCAGTTCGTCGTTCGACTTGCAAGGGGTAGCTGCTATTTCGATTTTTCGAATTTTCGCATTGAGCTGTGACTTTTTTTCGAACTTAATGTTGCTTATGCTGCGGGACAGTTACTGTTTCGAATATTCGAATTGAGCTCTGAGTTTTTTCGAGTTTTCTTTTGCTTGCTTGTCTTTTATTTCGTTTGGTGTCCTTGCTCTTCCCCAGTTTCGTTTGACTTTTGAGGGGTAGCTGCTGTTTCGAACAGTCGAATTTCGAACTGAGCTCTGGCTTTATTTCAAATTTTGCTTATGCTGCTGCAACTTGTGTTTTCTTCGCTTTGGTGTCCTTGACCAAATTCTTTGTCTTTGTCTTCTTCTTCCTCGAACTATGCGAACGAGTTTTTTCTCTGTTTTATGCTTGAGGGAATTTTCACATATGCTTTTTGGGTGTTTTCCTCTGGATTTCTCTGGTTAGTTGGCGCGAATTTTCAAATATTTATTCTTTTATAATTTTGTCAATATTATTTATATTCTTGTTTTTTATAGTTGCTTTTTTTCCTTAGCTCGCTGAGTGGCTCATTAAATTTCAAGTTTTTACATATTTTTACAACCGCAAAACAATCGGGCAGCATTTCCAAATGCCACATGCCACATGCCACATGAATATTTTATGATAAAAAGGAGTGCTGACTTTCTCAACTTTTTCGCTGTTTTTTTACACCAAACCCCAACCCCCAAAATGAATTCCACAAATCAACATAATCAACTTCTCACCGTAATCCACTCGCCGTCTTTTCTTCTCAACGCAAAATAAATGCCGTAAAAAATGTAAAAACTTTTTTATAGTTGCTGTAAAATAAAATGCGGCGAAATAGCTGCAAAAAATGCTAAAGGTATACAACAAAAGAAAATCACTTTGGTTATGTGAAAAGTCAGGGAGGTAGTCGAGGACGGGAGATGGGGGCTGGTGTTCAACAAAGGGCAGTCAGCTGGGCAGCAACCTAATAATGACATCATATGATGAGCTAGCCGCCAACCTCAAAATCAAAATCAAAATCAAAACCCATGATCTAATTTTTTTCAGTTTTTTTGTCCCATTTGGCAGCTGGTCTCACTTACCTGAGTGGATAACGTGGAGGAGGGGATGGGAGGAGAAACAAATAGCTACACTCATAAAAAAAAGTTGACCTATGTTTTAGTAAATCGTTGTTCTTTTGGACCTTATTATTCGGAGAGTAAATTTGAAACATTTTTGTTTGTGGCTTTTATAAAAATAAAGTTTTGCATTTCAAAATTTCAGAGTGGATTTTTCTAAAATTTTAAAATAACATTTTATAACTTCCGGGATATTGTGTGTAAACTAAATAATTCTTATGTTGGCTTTTTAACAGACATTTTTTTTAAATATAGATTTGGATTGTCAATTTAGGGTAAGACTTTCTACATATTAATTATTTTTAAGAAATAGAAAAACTTAATATTTTGTAGGGCGATTTACATTTTGGGGCGATTCACAAAAGTGTAGGGCGACTTTTTTTCTGAGTGTGGCGCAAAAGGAATGCAGAAATATATGCTCGAAAGCAAAACAAAGAAGAAATTGTTTTCGCTTAAAAGAACATTCAAATGGAAATGTTCTGCTTGGCTCAACACAAACAACAAGTGCAGGCAAACAAACTGCATTTATTTAGTTAACAAAAAACAAGAAAGGAAGAAAAAGAAAAAAAAAACAACAACACTAAAGGAAAGAATATACCATTTGAGTACCTCAACAGAAAGACAGAACGACAGACAGACAGACACACACAGACAATGCATAAAAGTGAAGTGCTTGTGGAGAGGGCAAGTGGAAGACAAGTGCAAGCTGGGACAAAGGCATAATAACGACTTATGCATACCCTACAAATATATATATTTGATCTATTTATCTATGTATTCATTTAATGTCAACTAAAGTCAGTCAACACAAAAAATACATATTGAAAATAATTTAATTAATTTAATTACAAATAATATGTAACCTTATATTTAAATTTAAAATATAAGAATTATTCGTGTGACTTATGTGCTTTCTGGGAGTATTTAAATGCAAAATAGTCCCACATTTGTTGCATGCAATGGGGAGGAAACAGAAAAAAATCCAATCAGATCAAAAAATAGTTAGTATGAATTAGTTAAGAATAGAATAATAGATATATAATTGATTACACGATGAGAGAGTAACCATAGAGCAAGAATTTTAATATTCAGGATGCATAAAAGAGGATAAGCAACCGATTCTTTTTTATATGAGTAGTTATAATTTCCTAGCTAATATGCCCTACAATACACAACTCATGTTTATAGGGTATATATCGAAGAAAAAAGTGTAGCATAAAAAGCAGCGTCGACGTCGTCGTCGCCTGGTGCACTTTGTTGCCTTCTGGCTGTCAGATTGATATTAAATTATATACCTTATTATCATTTGCGTTGTTGCTGCTGCTGCAGCTATCAGAAGGTAGAAGGTAGCAACACATGTGGGCGTGGCAGACGCTAAAGCCATGTTTATTTACAGCTGGCAACAATTGTTGCTGCTGCCATGTAAAATGATGCACTTTGCTTGCTTTGGTTGCCAAGTTTCGCTCCTCAACTCAACGCAACTCAACTCGACTCAAAGTCAACGGCACACTTCACATGTGGCTGCTTCGGTTGCCTCAGCTGCTGTTGCATTTGTTGTGTAAATTGTTGTTATTTTTGCAAAACAGACAAACCGACAAACAACAGCAGTCATCCTTCCAAGCGGAGCTTCGTCCTCGTAATATGCTTGATGGCTGCGCGCCCAAGTGACATTAAATGGCTGCCATTTTGGGTTGAGTTTGAGTTGCTGTTGCAGTTGCAATTGGAGTTTGGGTTGCAGTTGTTCTCTGGATTGGGTTTGACTTCGGTTCGCCTGGCTGCACTCATAAAAGTGGCTCAAGTGGCGAGCAGCTTTAACGCAATGCGCTGAAAGCATTTTAAAGCACTTTTAGTATAAAAAATATACAGTTGCGAAAACAATAATAGCAACAATCTCACAAGAAATATTTTCAAAAGAGTTTTTTTTTTTTAATTTGCAAGTTTAAGGCAGTTATGAATTGGTTTTTTGAATTGGAAGAGGACTCTTCAAAAAAAAGTGAGATAGATTCAACCTATTTTAATTAAAATTAAAATAAAAACAAATTATTTTAGAAAAGATAAGAAAATAGACGAAATAATTGGAACACAATTTTTTAAATTTCCACTTTTAATTATGTGAATTATAAATAAATAACTAATTCATAGCACTTTTGTCTTCTCATGAAAAAATGAAATAAATATATTTTGAAAAGAATTACAGAAACAGTACTTACTTTAATTTTTAGGGGGAATGCTCAACAATTTATTAAAAACCAAAATTTGAGAAATGGCAAAGCTGATAACTAGTTTTTCTTCATTAGTAAGATAATATGTCGTATTGGTGCTATTATTTTGTTCGCAACTGTATATAAAATATATATTTTTAGTTATTTACGTTTATGCACTTTTTATAATGGTTATCAAAATAAATGGAAGTAACGTATTTGCTTCTATCTTCGATAGCAAATAAATAGGATTAAAGCTTTGATTATGTCCAATGCAGACTTTATTTTATTTGTTGTTGTGTTTTTATGAGGAGTTGCTTGGAGTTGCTTTTCTCTCATGTAACGATTGGCTCTGGATGCATTTTCGCATGGCAAACTATCAAGCTATTATTCTTTATTATGGACAATTTTTGTTATTTATTTATGCTTTTACAGCTTTTCTCAGGTCGATATACTAAAATAATACAGAATATTTATTCTCTTTTCTGCTCTTCTATTGCAGTAAATATTATACAATTTCATAACAAGATCAAGTCGCAAACACAGTCGCCAAAAATTGTATCTGCCAGCTAACCCTGGCTATCCCCAAACCCTTTCAAGTTTGGCGCATTGCTAATCGTTGGCAGCAACCAAAAATGAGCCCACTAATTAACAAATTGATTTATGGAAATTAAAATGACAATTCTCCAGGGAACGCATCAGGGTAAAAACTCATATGCAAATTGTAAATGCCAAAATAGCAACAACAACCCTTCAAAGTTGGCCAAAAACTTGACTTTGCGGTTCGAATGAGTCCACTAACGAACAAACATCCACCAAAGACTTCCCACCGGAGACAGACATTTAATTAAGGTGTCTTCATGGCAACAACAACAAGTTGAGTGGTAAATGAGTCTAATTAATAACGAAGCATTTGCCACATAATTCATGCGAATTGGAAAGCTGATGATGCTCCGTAAAAAGTTTTGAGGTTTGAGTAATAATTTTATAAGCCGCCTGTCAGTTTGGCCAATTCAAGTTAGTTTGAGTTTGGAAACATTTTTTTTGTTGTTGGATTTTTTAGATTTTTCACTGGTCACATTTGGTCAGCAGTTGTTGTGATTGGCCGCAATTGTTTTATGGTGTTTTTTTTTGTGATTTTTCCCGCGTTTTTTTTCATCTGAGCAACTTGATGACTTAAGCCCGGTGT